GTGCAACTCCTTGGAGGTGGACCTGGTGGGAGGCCCTTTGGTCATTGTGGCCATGCCCTTGAATGGAATTTGGAGATCCCAGCCCCTTCTTCCTCTCTTGCTCTTGGCCATGAGATGAGCAGTATGCTCCCTGCCATTCCCATCAGCTGCCCTACCAGAGTCCCAAAGCCACAGATCCACCTGCTCTTGGACTGCAGTCTCCAGAACTGTGAGCTGAATAAATCTTTCCTCGTATATGTTAATTATTTCAGCTGTTTTGTCAAAGGAATGCAAAGCTGGGTGATACAGGGAGCATGTAGATCACTCCCTGATTCCATCACCCCCACGGAGAGGTGATTCTGGCCAGCTGGGACATGTAGAATTTGTACTGACTCTGGTCCAAATCACCTTGTCTAATGAAAATATATCCTGAGCCACGGGAGATTTTCAATTTTCTTAGAGCATATTAAAAAGTACAAAGAAATTGGTCAAATTAATTTTAATAATATATTTTATCGAACCTATTTAAGCATGTCAATAGTATAAGATTATTAATGAGATAATTTATATTTTTAATTGTCTTTAAAATGTGGTGTATATTACATAGCACATCTCCATTCCTGTTAGACACGTTCCCAGTCTCCACAGTCACGCATGGCTAGCCCCTGCCACAGTAAACCGTGCAGTTAAGCAGGCTTTCACTGAAGCCTCCACGAACCAGAAGGAGGGAGAAGGAAAATTTGCAATGGTTTTGGCTGGAGAGGCTGAAGCTCTGAGAGCTGCAACCTGGGTGTGCAGGGCAACTGCCTTCGTGAGGTCCACCTTGTCCTTGCTGTTTTCTATTCCTGCCATTAGCCCCTTGCTACTCCAGCTCTGTGACAAATGTTCTTTATCTCAAACATGTAGAAATAAAAAAAGATCACCCAGATAAGAACAAACAGGCTCCATTTTCAGAATCTCTATTGCAAAAGGTTCAGCTGCATCAAAAGTTGACGTGGCCCTCCTGTGGTGCTAAGAGGCAGGCCAGCAGGGCCCAACGCCCCAGAACCCTGGACAGCAGGGCCCAACGCCCCAGAACCCTGGACAGCAGGGCCCTGGGACAAGTCAGACAGAGGAAGAAGGAGGCTCTGGGGTGAATGCAGCAGAGGCTCAGCTGGGCCTGACTGGAGGTTATTGGCACAGAAAAGCTGGTAGCTTCAGTGGAAAGAGCTTCTTGTGCCATTGTTCTGGGAGCATGTTTAGCTTCACGTAATTGGTGAGTTAAAGTGGGCTCCACTGGCAGCGGGAAGTTGGCGGTTATTGACTGAGTCCCGATTACTCGGGGCCAATTTTTCAAAGGTGGTGGTTTGGCTTCCCAGCTGCTTGTCGAAGAGGTTGTGAGTCAGAGTTCTGTTGTCATTTAGGGTCTGGCCACTGTCTGCTTGTCTCTTCCATCTCTCTCCTGGAAAACAAAACCATTAGGCTAACTCAGAGAACTATGGCTGTTAAAATCTAATTATCACAAATTTTCTTTCTGTTTAGTTTCACTGATAAAGTACTGAATTGTTTCTCTATGTTTTCCTGAATTTTGTTAAAACAGCTATTTTGGGGTTTTTTTCCCCGCTTTGGTGCTGAGGATCAAACCCAGGGCCTTGTGCATACAAGGCAAGCATTCTACCAACTGAGCTACATCTCCAACCCTTCTTTCTGGAATCGTTGTGTCTTTAGGTTTCCTCTTCTTGTTATTTTCTCAGTCTGTCACCTTCACTATGATGGTATCACGGAGGGTATCACTATGATGGTATATGGGGCCCAGCTGTGCCACCCCTGACTGTGTCCTTGGGGGAAGTCCATTCACATGTTTTGACCTCATTTCCCCTTCTGTAAAATGAGACAAATTCCAGTAGTACTGTCTCACCCACAATGAGGTGATTCCCTATCTCCAGGGCTGGGCACCTCCTCTTACCTCCACAGACATGAGGAGTGAAGGATGGGCCTGCTTTCAAGGACTTCCCAGAACTAAGGCATGATCTCCACCTGGGAGCACAGATAGTAACAGAAGGGAGGACGATGGTGATGGTGATGGTGATCTCACGGGAATTATGGTGGTGGTGGTGGTGATATGGTGATGGTGAAGGATGTAGTGATGGTGGTGGTGATGATGGTGGTGGTGATGGTGGTGATGGTGATATGGTGATGGTGAAGGTAATGGTGATGGTGGTGATGGTATTAGACAAGACTCTGCCTGCTGGAGAAGGCAGAAGAGTGCACCAGGCTAGATAACTCACTGTCTATGGCTTTGTGAGATGTCATGCAGTGCCCCAAAAATCTCCATTATAAGGAAGATAAAGGTGTCAGGGGTGATGGTTGCTGATGGGGATGAGCAGCCCTGGAGCAAGGTGTTGGTGGTGGTGAGAGTGGAGTTGGGCCTGGCCCTTGAGTCTCTGAGCTTACTCTTTGCAGCTCTTAGGGAGGCTAGTGTGATGATCTGCAAGCCTGTGAAGGGTCAGTAAATTCAGTAAACTGCTCCAAGTCACACTGCTAGTAGGTTGTGAGATCCCAGTGTAAAGGTCAGCATTTTGGTTCCTGGGTGTGTTCCCTTAGCCACTTTGCTTACCTGCTACCCCTTTCTGGGTTATTTTCCAAATCAGGATGCTATTCCAGGGACACAGGGAACTTGGGACCAAGGAGGCTGCAGCCCCAAAGAGCAGGAGGACTCTGTGTAAGAGCCACAGAGGTGTTAACTGAATGTACCCTTTGAAGAGCCTGTAGACAGAGAAGCAGGGGTCTGGGTGCTCATGCCAGAGCCAGCAGGACTCTGTCTTACAATGAGGCACTGTGGTTGTAACTGAGGGGGAAAGAACCTGGAAGAGTGCCTGAGGCCAAGTGGAGGTGCCTGAGGCCTGACTCTGCCCGGAGGCTGAGAGTCACTCCTGCCTGGAGTTTATGGGGTCCAGGATAGAGGTGGAGCGAGCACATGGTTAACATTAAACATGCCTTGACTTGTAACCCTGGACATCAATTGACCTCTGATCTGGTACTGGGCAGGAAGCGCAGAGCTAGCCTGGTGCACTCTTCTGCCTTCTCCAGCAGGCAGAGTCTTGAGCGCCTTGGCTTCCCCCTGGGCCCCTGAGATCTACCCTCTTTGGCTTTGTGAGATGTCATGCAGTGCCAAAAGAACAGGAAGTAAGTCAAGGCCTGACTCCATGCAGAGGAAAGGGATGACTCCAGTGGAGGCAGCTGAGCCCGTGGAGATACCTGGCCTGCAAGCTATAGGCTCCTGTCCCCAGCTGCCACACACCCTTCCCCATTTTGTCTCAGACAGCTCATTTGGGCTACTTTCCCAAATTCAATTTTTCTCCAAGACCTGGGAACAAGAACCCTTTACATGTGTGTTATCAGGTAGTGAATCCCTTGGCGCAAAGCTAAGTCTTTCCTAGAAAATGGTTGATCCGTCTCTTTTTGGTGTATAGAAATATCTTACAACTTTTAAAGGTCATTTTCTTATCTTCAAAGTTTTATAATCCTGTCTACGCTTGTTATATCTTGTTACATTAATAACCATTAAAAATGGTTTAGAAAAACACAGTTTTACATCCCATGCATGGGAGCTAAGTTCTGGATTTCTGGGTCTGAGCTGGGGCAAGGGCTCTGCTGTCCCTGTGGTGCTGGTTTGCATGATGATTGGGCTAGGGGGCCCTCCTCCTGGGACTAGGGACGACCGCATGCCACTCCCTTTCCTGGCAGCTTCCTTCACAGCTCGAGATGCAAAGCCTTGAGGGGCAGACCCAGTCCCGGGTCTGGGCCAGTCTTGCACCTGGTGGCGTGGTGCCCCATGAAAGGGGAAGAGGAGAAAGGGAGGACAGGAGACAAGGCAAGAGGGAGAAGAGCATAAGAAAAAAAGAATGACGATAAATGGAGGAAGCAAAAAAAGCGGGGAATGGAGTGGGCTATCGTCCGGGACCCCAGCCGTTGTGGGAAACTCTCACTGCCCAGTTTCAACGGGGACCCAGCCCCTTAGACAATCTGTGTTCATTTATATAATTTTAAAAGTAAAAAACTTCTACCATCTTCTAATCACTATTGTCCTAGGGACCCAAGAGTAACAGAGAATCATCATCATCATCATCATCATAACAACTTACAACCAATCTATGCAAAGGAACCAACGTGGGGGCATTCTTTTTCAAAAAATGTTTGCCTCAAGCACTCAAAAGAATAATTGTCCCACTGACTTGTGGACTACTGTAACTTTCCACTAAGGTCCTTTGGAATATCCATATCCACAGGAACCTGCAGATGCATGGTGCTAGTATTTCCTTGAGTTTTTAGTTTAGCAAACTGAAGATCTAGCACGGGCAGGCCTGGGACCTCAGCCACCCTTCCTCCCATGAATGCCAAGGTGTGGGGTGTCTGCAGAATGCTGCCCCTCAGGCTCCACCTCGCACTTTCATCCTTTTGGAGTCAGGAGTCCTGGAACTGTGTGGTTCCTTGCAGTTCATGCACCCACGTAAAGGTACTTCGAACGGTGTAGTGAGAGGGCTGCTGTGATTTAATAGGCCATGATGGCAAACGTGTCAACATTGAAACTGTGCTGATCCAGGACCTCCAGATGACTGATGGCAAGGGCCAGGCATCACAAAGGAATCAGTGGTGACACCCCGCGGCTGTGGGTCCCATCCCACAGGTGAAGGCAAGGTGAGTGGCCGCTGCTGTCAACGAGCTTGGAGGGCCACAGCAGGCCCGAACCAGGAGCCTGCAGCATGAAGCCACAGATCCTAAAAGGAAGTCTCCAGAACCCTCAGTAGAAATCTGCTCAATATTGATGATGCATCTCCTGCTCATCCTGAGCAGTGCCTACTTCTCAGAGAGCTGATGAAGGAGCCGGGGGTCACGGCCTGGAACGTCTCTCCACATTGCTTGTGTGGCCAAGCCTCCGTCCCTCCACCAGCGCTTCTGGCCTTTGGTGGAGGAAGTCTGTGGAGGCCTGGGATTGTTGCTCATCACAAGCCATAGGAAATTTCCACAACGTGTGTGCAGTGTATGTTTAATGGAAACTTCTCCTTTATTACATGTAAAATAGGGCTTACAATTTCCACTGCAGAGATGTTTCAATAGCAAGTACTTTGAAGCCAGGTGTGGATACACACACACAGGAAATGCTGATCAAAAAGCTTTTGAAGGAGTTATAATTGCATTAATTTCACAGATGAGGTAAATATACAGTCCTTTTAGAAAAATGATAATAGGGATAATAATAGGGATAACAATAATAATAACAACAGCAGTAACTGATGTCCTTGAATAAGAACTCAATTAAGGTTTTTGCAATAAGTTATAATGAAACCCAAACAACATACCCAGTGCCCCTGGTCTCTGTGTGGTGCACCTGCTCTAGGAAGAATACAGAGCCTGAGAGGCAGGGGCGGTGGGCGGCGGGTGGAGTGGCGGTGGGGGGTTGGGAGTGGGCATCAGGAGATGCCTGTGACGGGCTGTGAGAGAGGGCCAGCACTGGACGAGAGGGCTTATGGAGCCAAGTGTAGGAAGTGGAGGGAGGGAGGGGGGTCCCAGTGCCATTGTCAAAGCCAGGGCTCCAGGACAAGAGAGGGAGAAGAGCTGGACACACTCAGAAACACTCCTGAATCCCCCAGGGGGTGACTGTCCAGCGGCCTGATAAGGCACAGAATCTGCCTCTCTGAGGAGAGAAGCCACACTAAGCACCCTTGTTCTATTGTGAAAGGGCACAGGGAGCCAGAGAGGCCAGCAGAGGGCAGGAGGCACGGGGCCCTGGGGTGCTGCACAGGGTCAGGAGGAGAATGCTGACAGGAGGCGTCTGCTGTGCTGCCACAGAGAGGGCAGAGGCTGCTGTCCGTCCCCTGGCCAGCTCCATCTCATTCCAAGGTGCTGAGGCCTTTCTGGAGGAGAAGTCTTCTCAGTCATTTCATCTGGGAACGACCTGGTCAGTGTGGTGGGAGGCAGTCCATGAGACAGCAGCAGGTTCTCACAGGCAGAAGGACTATGGACACTCAGCAGGACCCCTGGGGAGGTCCCGCTTGTCCTAGTGCTCCCACCAGTCTCCTGAGTCTGGTCAGGTAGGCAGAAGGCAGATGATGAAGGACACAGGTGTACCTTGCTAGAGAGGTGGTATTAACTAGGGAAGCCGTTGCTCTCATTTGTTTTGGGAAGCCCAGTTCCGTGGCTGCAATGCAGATGCTGGCAAAGGAAACAGAGAGGGAGTCTTTTAGGAAGGGTCTTTTCTTATTGCACTAGGCAAGTCTTTGGGGGCTTCATCTTTTCTCCCCTCAGGAATTCAGTGCCCTTGAGCATCAACCTCGAGGTCTAGGAAGAGTCAGGCACTGTGTGGGTCTCCTGGGAAGGACTCTTAAGCAGAAGAAAAAGGGTTTGGAAAATAGTAGAACCATTTCTGAAGGCGGATACGTGTTGACAAAGGAAGCAGAAAATGTCTGCAGACCAAAGAAGAAATTTCAAGTGGTCTGAGAAAGACTAAAAGCTAAGAATTTCTATTTTCTTTATTTTGCTGTTTTGGATCATGATTGATATTTCATTCTCATTTCTCTCTACACATCCAATGGGAAAGGAACCAGAGTTAATTGGTCAATATTATGTCCATCAGGCACCAGAAAAATCTCCAGTTAAGTATGAATATATTACATCGTTCACATGGAGAGAGGTGCTCAGAAAGGTGATGTAGCTTCCCAGCAGGAACAGGCAGGGGGAAAAACTGAGATCTGAACCTGTCTGAATCCTAAACACAAGGCTCTTTTTCCATTTAAGTGGTTTCTCTAAACTCACCTGTTTACAGGAGTCAACGGAGGCACTCGCTCAAGTTGCAGACCTTAGGGACCCACCTCTGGGAATTCCAATTAAAGTTTGGAAAGCTAAACCAAGCGCATCAGGACAGCCTGGTGCAACATGAAATTCACGGAAACCGCCGGCTGAAGTACCAGGACAATGCAGAGCTCTTTGTCAATTTTCTCCCTCTTTGCTCATGATGGCAGGCAGGGGGCAGCAAAGAGCTTTCTACGAGTGGTACTCGCCCCCACAGTGTGGAAGCAGGGAGCCTGTACAAAGTATTGCCTGGGGAGAAATTTCTGGGCATGAAAATAAGCGTTAGTAGCAGGACCTGAGTCTGGTCAGGTAGGCAGAATGCAGATGATGAAGGACACAGGTGTACCTTGCTAGAGAGGTGGTATTAACTAGGGAAGCCGTTGCTCTCATTTGTTTTGGGAAGCTCAGTTCCGTGGCTGCAATGCAGATGCTGGCAAAGGAAACGGAGAGCGAGTCTTATTAGGAAGGGTCTTTTCTTACTGCACTAGGCAAGCACCTTAACTGCCAGGCTGCCGTTTAACGGGCAAGATGAGTGGAACAATAGTATCTACCTTGTGAGGTTGTCACCAAATGAATTAATCCATGTAAAGTGCCAAATACTTACCTATTGATTACAATCCATGACGTCTGCCAAATACTTACCTATTGATTACATGCTAATGCTTAACAATATCCACATTACAAAGCTGCACATATTTCTGTGGTATGATAAAGAAGGGATAGGCTGACTGCAAGGTGAGAATGGTGGGCCATTCACAGAAACTAAGCATGGAGGTGCAGGAGGAACAGGTTTGCAGGGAAAAGAGGGGGGCTGCTTGGGGGGCCCTGCTACGCAGGTGAGGAGGGAACTATAGCTAGAGGGCTGGAAGACATGTCTCAGGGGGGTGACCAGGCAAAGCACTGAAGGCTGGGTTAAACACTACTATGACCACAAGATGCTGCAGTTAAGGAGACAGCAGCCAGATCAGTCTGAGGACAGGTGAGGGCAGCATCCTAGGAGCCAGGGGAGGTGGCTGGTGCTGTGCAGCCCAGGCGTAAAGCAGGTTGGGACTGGAGAGGGGAAGTGGTGGGTGACATTTTCAGGGACAACTCTGGAGAGTGTAGAGAGTCCAGGAGCTGGTGAAGGAGTTGCAGTGGATAATCTAGGGACGTTTCATTTTTATATATATATATATATATATATATATATATATATATATATGAATTTGTCCTCCAGGCGTTGGTGCGTTGGGAGATTAATATGCCATGTGGCGGTGTTAAGAGGTGGTGGAAGTATGAATTAATTACATCTTTCAAATGGAGAGAAAAGGTGATATAGGTGGAGCATAGCAGGGTGATTAGGTCATTGGGGGTGCTGCCTGCAGGAGGCATTAACATTTTCTTCTCAAGAGAGCAGGCTGCTATAAAGTGAAGCCATGAACTACACGTGGCCCTTTCTGCACACAGCCGGTCCCCCATTTCTCCATCGTGTCACCCAGTCAAGGGGCCTCTCTAGGGGCTCGTCAGAGGGCTGCTGATTTTAGACGTTCAGACCTCAGAGCCATGAACTAAACAAGCTCTTTATTTAAGTTCCCAGGCTCAGGGATTTTTGTTATAGCCACCCAAGGTGGGCTAACCCCAAATGGAGGACACAGAGAGCCCAAGTGACGTTTAAGGTTCCCTTCCCATTGGCAGAGACACCTGGGCAGGCCTCTTATTTAGGAAGATGGGCCTCGAGGCAGTGTGCAAGCCAGACTAGAAGAGAGGAGGGGGCGGGGCTGCGAGCTGGGCAGGGAGAGGGCCTCCTCCATCAGAGCGGGAGAGCTGTCCGCGGAAGGAGCCTCCCTGAGCTTGGCTTGAACAATTCAGCAGACAAGATCCACTGCTTTGTAGGAAAAGACGCTGACCAGGGACCGTCCATGCTGTTTGCCTCCACACATGGAGGACGCCGGCTGATGCAGGGGACACAGAGTGACCCAGGGAGCTGGGAGGGACGGGGACACTGGAGCTCAGAGGCAGAGGGGAATCACTGCCACCATATTCTTGGGCACTGTTTAGACATTTTCTCTAACCTGTATGTGTATTCCTGCTTTTTAAAAGTGTTTCAAACACAAAATAGCACAGAAAATGATATGATGTGTTCAGCAACAAGTCTTATTACACTTAAAGTGATAAGTGTAATAAAGTCCACACACACACACACACACACACACACAGCTCCCAGACAGACCGTGGGCCTCTGCTCCCCTCTCCATGTTCACCTCCCCCCACCCCCAGAGCCAGCCACCAGCCCAAATTATTTATCATTCACACAAATATTCTCATACCATTTTCTAAAATTACAACGCTTTAAAACTCCATAAATATGGCCTAGTAAATTATTTTTCTGCTATAAATTGTATACTTTTTACTCCAACAAGTTAAAATTCCTTTAATTCCTATTTTGGAGAGAGTTGTTACTGATGAATAAATTGTTCATCATATTTAAATCTATAAATTTCTTTTTCTCCCCCCATGTTCACTAAGATGTTCACTCATTTTTTTCTCCTTTATTATGTAAATGTGTTGAATTTCATTACCAGATTCTCGGATATTGAGCCATCTTTGAATTTTTGTGGGAATGTGTTACCATCCAAATGCATCATTTTTGAGGCCAGTAACCTTAAAACACTCTAATGGAGTTTGGGTTAGAGTCTGCCAAGAGAAGTGCTCTGTCAGAGCTGTCGCATGTCTTTAGGGTAAAACAGCATTCCTAATTACCTAATTCTCTTGTTCGTGACTCCTGGGTGGCTCTCCCCCGCTCTCTCTCTGAATTTCAAGCAACTCTGAGGGTATAAAGTGCCCTTCGGGCTTTATGATCTCATCTTCCAATTCATTGCCTATCTCTGGCTTTTTCCCCTAAGTTTCTCATATCTAACCAAACAGGAAACCTTGACAACTGTCATCTTTAAATGTCTCTTTCATCCAATCTCTATTTCCCTTAGAATCCTTACCTTGGTCCCAGCCCCCTGTTCCTTGTCTCAGCTCCTTTCTAAAGGGCTTAGGAATGCCTGTTGCCAGGTACAGAAAGGGCCCTGTCACTTAGCCGTCCCCTTCCCATGAAAGACACAGCCAAGCTCCAACACACCGAGGAGCACGTTCTGTCTTTGAACTCAGTCCCTGAAGAGGAATGTCTGTTGAGCCCGTGGCCGAACTTCAAAGTTCCTTCCCAGTAGTAACCCATGTCCCCCTCTGTGGAGGGGCTCTGGACTTGGGAACTGGCTGTCAGCTGGAAGCTGGGTAGAAGGCCATGCCGTCCACTGACCACTGCAGTGGCTCAAATCCATGGTCATCGGCCAGATCTGAAATGTGTCTGTGGATCTGCACATTTCAAGGAGCCTGCAAGAGGCTGTGCACCCCAGAAGGAGACACACTGTAGAAGATGCAGCCTCCCTCGTTCATAGTTCTCAGCCTCGTGCCAATAAAGAGTAGATTCCATAAGCTGGTTGGTGTATAGAAGAATAGGTCCGGTGACAGGGTTCATCCCCCGTCCTGCTCAGAGGCAAAGGTGGGAAATGCCAGCATCCCCTGTGAAGTCTGAAAAAATCCTATAAATAAATAAATTCAGACATATACATATGTGTGTGGTGTATATGTAGACGCACATATATTCAATTTTGATGGACAAAAGTGTATGTATTTATCACATACACCAGGATGTTTCAGAATATGCATTCATCCTGGTACCCACATGGGCTAATTAACGTACCCATTACCTCACATACTTTTTTTTCTTCCTTTGGTGGTGAGAACACTTAAACTCTACTCCCTTAGAGATTTCCAAGAATACGGTGTCTCATTACTAACCACAGTTATATTTTTAATTTGCCTTCTTTATTTTTTAGATGCAGGGGAGAGGGCGATTCCTTCCCGTATGAGAAAGGCTTGAGGCCACGATCCAGAACGTTCAGGGGGATTCGAGAGTCCAAGCCCCAGCCCTGACCGCTGCCTCCTCATGGGATTACCCCCTGCTTGTCACTCTGATTCACTGACCCTTTCAAACAGGAGGCGGACAGACCCACTACTGCCCTGCGCTGCGGGAGAAAAAGAATTCCTTTGGAATTGCTAAAGAGGCCTTTTCATTTTCTACCTGTATTCTGGGTTGAAGACGGTTTTTGAGCCTGTTGTTTTCTCTGAAGACCAAGCGTGGGTGGGTAGGCAGCGGCCAGCGCTGGGCCTCAGCTCCAGGGGCCTGGCTGGCTGCGGGGCTCTCCGCCCACACACACTGCACCAGGCGAGGGGCCCTGAGAGGGCTGCCGCAGCCAGCTCTCCCCGGAGCTCCCTCTCTTCCTTGATGAAGGACTAGATGCTCCTCTGTGCATGTGGGATCAACGGCCTGTCAGGCGGCCTCCTCGGGCCACTTCTGGTAGCAATGACCATATGGCTCAGGGTACTGCAGCAAAACAGGGACACACCAGTGTGGGAGCGTGGAGGGTGCTACGTGGGGACTATTTTCGTGGTTTTTAACTGAGAGCAAACAACCCCACACTTAGCAGTCTTCTCACGCCAGGATGAAATGGAAGCTGCTCCTCCAGTCCATGTGTCTCTTGGTTTCCCTGCTGCTGTCTGCTCAGAACTGTGCCCAGGCCCCTGCACAGGCAGGGGGGGCAGACCCTGGGGCACTCCACACCGACTCGGCTCTCAGCATAGCTTGGAGGAGCCGCTGCACCAGAAGCATCTCCAACTGGAATTGCTGTCAAATAGTCTATGATTACACACTTAATAACTAAAGAATGGGCTGTCTCTCATTTGAGCACAAATTAAAATCTCAAGGTGCCCAAATAAGCAATGTATGGCTGGGTGAGTTTTCACAGTGTAAAATTGCTTGTGTAACCACCACAGATAAAGAGAAAAACAAAACCTGTACCGGCCCCCCAGGGCCTTCACATCCCTCCAGTCACAACCCCCACTCCAGGGGCCTCCCACCCCCACCAACACAGACCCTGCTATCTGTCACCAAAGGTGAATTTCTCCTGTCTTTAAAATGCATGAGCTCACACTCGGTGGGTGGAGTGTGAGGTGAGTCTGGGTCTGTTCACTCCACACTCTTTGAGATCCCTGTCTGCCCTCAGGCATGGCCAT